AACGGGATAGAAAAGAGAGCTGATGAATTACAGAGAAGATGCAGGAAGGCAGCTTGAAGCGCAAGGCAGCAAGTGCCATCAGCACAAATTGCCGTTACCCTTCATAAACAGAGCATTATGGTGATAATCCTGACAATTTAATTCAGTGCAAGGGCGAAAGACAGCATGTGTTGGACTGTCACCGATCCTCTTAAGCACTGGTAATTTTTGTTTCTTTATCCTAAGTCTTGTAGCTTTTGACTTGGATTGCACAAGTTACTGGAGGTTGCATTTTTTTTTAATTCTTTGCTTAATTTTTAAATCTCTTGTTTTTTTGTTGGGGGTGAGTATGTGTTGTGAATTTCTTTTTCTTAATTTGTTTTTTTCTTTTTTTAACTGAAATTCCCGCTGGGTTTATTGAAATGTAAATACTTCATAAAATATGTATTTCTAAGAAGACAAAGCATGAGATGGGTCCCCGCAGCCTTCAGTTGGTGTAAATGAGCAGTGCCAAGCTGATTTATGGTAGATAAGGATCTAACCCAGAGTTTTTTCTTAAGCCCCTCCACCCACCCCAGCATGCATGGGAGTAAGTCCAGAAATGTCGAGAGTCGGAAGTAATGAGAGCAGACGTGGCTTTGTTCCCGGATGAAAATCCACTTCGGAATTAGGGATGACTGCCTTTGAAATTGGAAATCGCTCGCAATTAATTTTCACCGGTACCTGAAGCCTCTCCTTGGCTTCCACTGTGGAAAAGCAGCGTTAGCCTTTGCCAAAACGATCTCACTTTGGCTCTGCTGAGATCAGTAATTCCCGTTGGGGCTCATGAAAAGCTACATGCCTTTCTCTGCAACTTTCTTTTCAGTCTTTGCGTGGCTTAAAGTTGTGGTTCCTCTACCTGACTGTAAATGCCTGTGTGCACCCACATGCGTACTCATGTTTTCTGTACATTTCCTCTTTCTTTCTTTTTTTTTTTTTTTTAAAGGTTAGACTCCAAAATGTTCTGTCTATGCTCTAAGCGTAACTAACAGATTTTCCTTCAAAGGGAGGAGGCAAGAAGCAGAAGTCAGTGAGGTTTACTTTTTTTTTTTCTTTTATGTCTCTTTTAGTTCCTTCAACTGCAATCTCGCAGCGCCTACCTCGACAGCTATCAGATAATTTCTTTATCTCCTAACGGCGGCCTAACTAATTTATAAAGGAAAATGCATCACCGTGAAGGCACGAGTCATTTCTCTCCCTTCTCTACGGTTGTGCTTCCCCCCCCTCCCCTGCTCCCCTCACATGATGCTCCCCGCTGTGAACCAAGTTCACATATCTGTTAGGCTGCGAGCTGGCAGCGCGCCAGGCGAGAGGAGGATCGGAGAGGGGGTGACATCTCAGACAAATCAATGTCAAAGGTTTGACATTTTCATTCATAGTGGTGTCAAAGCAACCTTTGCGGGGGAGGGATGGGGAGGTATACTTTTCTCTTGCTTAAGTGGTTGCCATTTATGTTTTAATTTACTGTTATACTTTTCAAAAACAAACAGAGAAGCTCTCAGTTGTCTTTTTATCCTCTGTTTCCCTTTCTCCCCCATCACTCCCCTACCTTTCTCTCTCTGCATCCTCTACGGAGGAATCTACTGTATCAGGAGTCCCAGCTGCACAACAGTGGGGCTTGTTTCCCATCTAGGATATCTGATGGCCACACTGGCCTGGACACTCCAGGCTGGATGGCTGTTTCTCTGGACCATCTCTTTTCTTTCCTTATATTGTGATGATGAGCTGGCCGAGGCTGAAAAAGCAGGTTGCGAAACTAAAGGTATTCATCGCTTTAACTGGGAAGGACTGATGGGAAACAGGCAAGGATCACAGTGTCCTGTTATGCAGAGTATGGCAAAGATTCATCCATTCCTCTTAGCCAGGTGTTTAGAGATCTTTGAGTGAAGAAGAAGGAAATATCCTTGTTGTTATCGTTTCTTCCTATACTTTACAAATTGAAGAAAATGGGCAATGCTTCCTTTTAGAAACTGCGTCCATCTTTCTGACCCTCTGAGATTCAGGAGTCTGAGAACTGTTGGGACCCCAAGATTTCTCTCTTCCTTAGCCTGATGTAACCCAAAATTAACTCCTTGGCTTCCATGCCATATTCATGATTTATTCTGGTATGAAAAGGAAAGCAGTCTCTCTTCTAGAGATGACCTTTGCCCATTGTTGAAAACTTGGTCCCACAAACTTCAGCTTTTATCATCTGAGTAATTCCCTTGGAAATGGGACCCAGTTTGGATGCAGCTGTAATATTAATGGCCTGGAGCTGCACAGCTGTTCCTGTATTGTGTCACCTGGTGTGCCTGTGCCCCACAAGACAGTGTTAAAGAGGACGAAAAATTCCTAGTCTCCTGTAAATGCACCTCTAAATAGGACCACTCACTTTAAAATGAAGCAGGTTTGTAAGCATTTCCAGTATCTGGGCCATAACAGTACCCAGCAGCATCTTGCAAGCAGGACTGAAGAATAAATCATCTGGTTGAATCTACAGGAGGAATGTGAGTCGACAGAATGAAAATAAGTGCCCAGTGTGCAGCCTGGCTAGGAAAGCTGACTGAGTCTCAGTCAGCTTTGGGGGTCCCTAATGGGCCAGGCTTTGGCTTTACACTTCATATGAGAGGGAAGGTGAGTTCTCAGAATGGGGAAGGAAATCAAACTCTATATTTGGTGTCAGAGGTGGCTTTTCTGAAGAAAAGAGGTGGCTCTTTTGTGAGAAAGAACAATGATGTGACCAGAGAGAAGGAAGCTGTGGGAGAGTTGGCTTGATAGGAAAAGTTCCTTGGGATTGTGTTGTTACCCTCTTGGCTCGGGTCACTGTGAGAGGCAGCAGCTGTGTCATTACACGGCTTTAGTTTTTGCTCTTTAGTTTTGGGAGCATGGTCTCTTAACATGAGTGGAGAAAAAATGTATAAACATCCAAGCAGTTTGTTCCTTTGAATGAGGGTTGACTCATTCAAAGATGTTGAGGGACTCAACATCTTGCGAGTCCAGAGAATCTGGAGGTTAAATTGAGGGCGGAGACAAGATGTAGGAGAAGTAGCAGAGTAGGTGGAGCTCATCTTTCCAGCCTTTCTCACACTTGCACAAGCAACCAAATGCAGACACCTTCTGCTCCGTGCCCTTGGTATTCAGTGTACAATAAAAATGTTTGACACCCTGTGGGTTCAAAGTGGAGGCTACAGATCCTGTTGTTTATAGTTATAAAGCAAATTTAACAGAAGCATTAATGTGTGAGCTGCTTCAGCTCTGTTTTGAGTTTCTTTTAGTGGAAAATGTAACCAAATGGTTCCAAATTGTCTTCTCAGTGCAAGGAAAGAAAAATTACGAAAACAACAGAAACATAATTAAAGACCTAAATTTTTTCTTTAATTAGTTACTCTGGCTGAGAACCAAGGAAACTTTCAGTGGAGTGAAAGTCCACCCTCAGTTATTTTGATGCTTTGTTAGAATTGGTGTGTGTGTTGGTGACAAGGTTGTGGGTAAAATTGTCTCCCTGTTCCAGTGAAAGCAGCAGTTCAACTGGGGTTGAGATTTTACAGTAGTTACACTTTTAGGGTTGCTGAGTGAGTGTCTGGGGTAAGACCTCAGGTATTTCAGGGATAAATTCTTAAGTTGAATATGTGAATCTCAATATTTTTGCTATCGGTTATCAGCCTGTGGGTCGTTACACTCTATATTTGAAAAGTAGGAGGAATAGTAATTTTTTGTCTTTATTGCTTCAGTGTTTCAGAGATCAAGATGGAGAAGGTATTATCCAGCCTGATGAAAGATGATCGCTTCAAGTTGCACAGACCAGGAAGCAAGGTGAGTTATTCTGCTGATTTGGAATTGCTCCAATTTTAATTTCCCAGCTAAACATCGTAAGTATTCCTCCCTTAGCTGCTGTCTTTACCATACAAAGGTTGGTATATCCATGATGGCAGGTAGTGGAAAATAATTATAGAACTGCTTTATATCACA